AACAAACAGTCACAGCCAAAGCCACAAACCGGCTCTATCGCTCGCAACATGTGGAATCGCTGTCTGTTCCTTACGATCATGACAAGGGATGTCGTTAAACAGCCCTTCTGCATATACATGTCAGTATATCTGTATCCGATCGGGTATCGGATCCTCACTCTTAGTACTTTTACGTAGGATACCACAGGTACACGGCCAATGCCGTCCTGAAAGCTCTGGTGCTGAATGTCGTTAGACTGTGGCGCATACCCTAATCTTGCTGTCAGGCTTTCTAAAGAGGATATCCGGAAATCCCACTTCCAGCTGGTCAGTTCTGGAGGAACGATGTCACTTATACATGGCGAACATACAGGTTTGAAGACGTGTCCCGTCCTTTGTCTTGTCATGGTCCAGCTACGTGCTGAACGCGTACACATGCGGTAAGTCACCGCTCCCAGCTCATAAGACGGTATCAATAAGAGCCCAGTACCATGCCAGCCACTCAATCGATTCGTATGTGGCGTGCGCAATGCTCGGTACGTCTCATCATGGCTACAACCACTATGGAGATGTCTGATGTAGCTTTGTCACTCGTAGCCCTTTCTTGCTATGAATATCTTCTGGTGCTCAGCAATGAATACAGCCTACTTTGGAAAAAGAAATGGACGCTGTTGACATGGATACTTTGTTTCAGCCGCTATCTAACTATCCTCGTAGCGGCCATTCAGTTCGCACCATATATGAGACAGGCGAGTCATACCCTCTAAGATTCTTACTCTTTTCATGGTGCCCTTGTTGCAGAGGTCAGCCGACTTTAGGTTCAGTGCTGCTGCTTGGCGCTGATTATCGTGTAGATGTCATCAAGACGTCCGAGTATTTCTTCTCATCCAGCTGTTGCCATATTGTACTACTGCTGGTCCTCTATTTACTCCTACACGCTCTAAGACACTGGCTGACATATAATGATTATAGTGTTCTCCGGACTCCGCGTTTACGCGCTTTCGGCGCGTAGTTCTACATTAAGCTTGGTTGTTGTGGGCTTGAGCCTTTGTCCTATCCTCGTCAACGCTGTGAGCACCACACGTAGGCTAAGATCTTCTCAGAGCTGACGGCCATGATTTATTTTAGTACCTCTATGTTCGAAACTTGGTTCTCACCGAAGAGTCTTATACTGGAATCAGATCTTTTTGCCTTTATTCACTCGATGTCTCTGCCATTTCCACCATGCAGTACGTCTAGTGGGTTTCGTCACTGAAACTTGTGTTCACTCATACACAATATGTTAGGTGTATGTTCTCTAATCTCTTCACGGACCATTGTTCACAGTATTACATCCAACAGTAGCCCTTGTGGTCCGTTTCTCCCTTATTCTTGCAGACATAATAGTCCTTTCTATTACCTGGAAAACAACATACATGGTGTATCAACTATACAGGGCTGCCCTGGGCCGTGATAACCTTAGTAGTATTTTGCTGACGGATGGTGAGTACTTATCGTCGTTTATATGAGCTGTACATGTAACGCATATTTATTCATAGGTAGTCTATATTTCATGTATGGAACGTTTTATCTAAGCTGGCTCGTCGCAATGACCTCTCGACCTCTGTCGCAGGTTCACCTTAGTCGTCAACATAACTCAAATTGTATTGAAGCTTTCGGTGCGTATTGAGCTCCAATCTGTGTCCCTGCAAATCCACTGATGCCCTTTAAATAGGACAACTACGGAGCTATGCCGCTGAACCCAGTCTTGGACATTCTGAATGTGTAACTAGACGTTCCTTAGCTCGGACCTTGAGGCTCATACATACTGACGCTTCTCCAATCTCAGGTTGCAAACTATGCTTATCGCGCGATTCGTGGCCGATTTGCGTTCAGAGAGCGATAGTGCTGGAACGTCTATGTCCATGTTCTCCATGCCTATTTTCGCGCACTTTTCAGTGGAACCTAATCAACCGGATAATGTCATTGTTCCTCATGGACGTACGAACCTATCTATCGTCAGTGACCCGTTGCCGCAGGCCGGGTCGTTTAACGAAAGTCACTTATTACTCAAGTCTTATATCGGCACTGACGCTGTATTTTCTCTAGGTCGCATGAGATGATGCGTATGTACTAGACCACTGCACTTCGTTACAAAGATGTAAGGATTATATCCGTACGAGTTAGAAGGCGCTCGTGATTGTCACAGAAGAAACAGAAGAGAGTATGCATCTCAGTAGCAATCTAATGTACAACAGTCATGAACGTATCATGGAGCCAGAAATACGTATGGTACGCTGCCAAAGAGGGAGAAAATCTCTGCTCAACGTGTATGTGCAAGCCCAAGACAGCGGCTTCCATCAAGAAACTTGAATCTGCGATCCAGCGGCTCGAGGTCGTAATAGATATTATGCCCATAAACAAGAATAGTTCCTTGGCCAAATTAACAACATTCCTATCTCAGACGAACAGATTACGGCAAAGAATCTCAGTCAGTTTGCGAAATTCATAGAATAAGGATGCATACCGAGGTAATTTCGCACATGCGCCTAGAAGCCGCCCTTGCCCTGAACCCGTGCAACAGCGTTCATCATTCCCTTCATCACCTCCACCGGCCCGCCCATCCCGCCACTGCTACCTACTTCCTGTCCAGCGCTGTCCCGCCATATGCCGTCTTCCTGCACGGGACCTAGCTCGCCGGAACGCTGATTGTGGTCTAATGCGCGACGCCACTCGATGCACAGCTGGGGCGAGTCGACCATGACGTTGCACTCTTGAGAGTGATACCAGGACTGCGTGTCTTGGTTACCGTTCCCTGCGATGACGAGCTGATCGTCGACAGCACAAAACTTGACTGCGTGTGGGAGGTTATCGTAGTCAGCATCTGTTTTGTAGAGTATGACGGTATCCCAGTGGGGATAAAGCAATACATACCGTGGCAGTTCCGCTCCTTCTTTGCAGCATCGACCGGCTGTTCGCGATCCTTCGCCGTGTACCAGCACGCTTTAAGGAACTTACGTTTACCCTGCCCTTCCTTGTTCAAGGTTTCGCACATTTGGGCGTAAATTCGTGAGTTTGTGCCTCCCTGCATGGGAAGCATCTCGCCCTGGTCGTTATAGCCTAATTGTGGACGTCGTATCAAGTCAATTAAGTACAACGTAATAGAATTTGGTCGAGAGCACTCACCGAGGCACACATATAGAGTGCACTCTACGTCACGCCGGCATGCATCCAGGATGGCAGCGACAATTGGTTCAGCGTTGAAATCAGGCGTTTGACTGGAATTTTACGTTTGGAGATGAGACTAACATAGAATATCTCTTGGGATAACCTACATAAATACGCTCTTTTGAGCTAGACGTATTGCCGCGAGCCACGCCACATTCTGGGGTACATCAACATCTGCGTGGCCTGGCGCTATATTCAGAGATTATCAGTGTTACGCCTTAGACCCAGTCGCCACGTCACTTACTACCGTGCGGCGCGCGATTGACCATCGCAATAGGGACGGGTTGATGTGGCTCGTGTAGTACAAACGGCTGGAAGCCGGGGGCGTTGATCAGAGTGAAGTCTGTCATCGGTTTCTGCGCATCGTCTGTGCTTGGGTCTGTAAAGCAGTATGCCGTAGAGAAATCAGTCATTGTGTCATGATGACATATATTTTCAAACAACGGACCGGGATGGGACGGGATCGCTTCGTCGGATGTACTATCCATAGCCTCCTTGCGGCCTCTTGCCTGGTCGAAGCAGTCCCCGTTTGTAGTGGACCTGCGGAGAGAAGAATTGACGAGAAGAGGAAGTGGCGGATCCATCTTTTCGCCCCAACTTATAAGTGCCATATCGTAGAAGGAGTCGACAATGGGGCCCTCGAGGTGGATATTCAACTCAAGATTGACGCGATCCTGGAAATAACGGACAGCAGGGTTACGTGATACATATTATCAGCATGATTCTCGATTAGATATGTACGAAACGCAGTACCTGGATGTTGTTCGAGCTGACGCACGCAATACGCCTATCAATAACCATGTACTTGGCGTGGAATGTACCCATGACGGGACGGTGGTAGTTCATGACCTCGAGATGAATGTTGCCGATTTCCTCTTGCGCAGGCAAGCCCAGCCCCGCCCAATCGGAAGGATCTACGCGCTGGTGATTCTTTATTACTTGCTTAGGATTTCCACGATCAAAGATGAGCTTGACAACGGGGCGTTCTTCCGGCGGTTTCGAAGCACACCGATTGGACAATTCAATGAATGCATCATGGATACTACGGTTCGTAAGACGACTCTTTGTTAGTCAAGTTACACGACGAGATCGAGAAGCTACGAACAAGTGTGAGCCCCATGAAGGTTCCCAGTAGTTCGTGGCAAGGATCACTTCATGCTGAGCATTGACAATTAGATGCTTGTAGTAACGCATAATGTCGGGTATTCTGACACAAGCTTAGAACGACATTCGCGGTACAAAACGAGAGTGCTTACAGAGAGACGACAGACATAGGCACGACTCCGGACGAACCAATCAGTGCAGGCGAGCATACGTCCTTCAGTGGGCCGTGCTCAAGGGTATCAAGAACGTCGCAGAAAACCTATATTCGGTCATCAGACTCAACGCCACAACGCGCGGACTAAGATATACGCACCTTCAAGAAAAGGTCGCTCGGTCTGTATGGGAACTTGCCACACAGAGCTGCACGATCCAGATCCTCTTTTGTATACTGGTCATGTGTGCGTGGCTTGCTCGACCGCGTAGCACCAGTGCGCAGACGGTCCGGGAAGACCTGTTTCGCAACGTCTGCAATGACTTGCTTCGGATTCTGCTCAAGAGCAGCAGTAACAGTCTTTCCGGTTTGTACAAGATTGAAAATTGGGTCAGATGGCATGGTACAAGACGTGATGGTCTGTGTCGGTATAATGGTGGTGGTGGTGGTATACTTTGAAGGGGATTGATGATTGTACGGCGGCCCTATTTCAGTCCAAAAATAGATGACGCCACCAACCCTACAGTAGGGTTCCCACGTGGTGTGGAGTCAAAAATACTGGACATTTGGAGGATTGAACTCCAGACCTCATGCAAGCACAAACAATGCGAAGCATGCGCGCTACCACTGTGCCAAATGCCCCACAACAAACGGTGTGCAATAGTAATATAACGTTGCGGACTCGTGCTCCGCTTTCCGATACGAATCGGTCGTTTTACACAGCAATTCGGTCGCGAGTGCACTCAACCATCTCAGAAACAACGCAACCACCTCAGGTTCCCAAGTCTCGCTGCTGCGTGCCTCACATCCGCGGCAGTTACTCGTTTCCGAGTCAACGAGATCATATCATTCGACTGGACCGAGTGGAAGGATCCCCCCAGTAGGAATCAGTGGATTCGGATCGCGCTGCATCTTCGCAGGAGATAGCTGTGCAGTGCAGCTATCTGGCATCTGAGGTGTGTGCCGATACGCAACGCGGTCGTACTTAAATCACTCGTTTACACAGCTGTCAGGCTATCAAACTATAGCCTGGATTTGGACAACATGAGCTTCGCGAGGTTTACTATACGCCCACGCACTACTACTTAAGAAGCCTGACAGGAACTCCCATCTTCATTGCGCTACATGATTCAAACGTCGCTCGTGATCGACTGCCATGCTACCGAACCCCTTAGTCTCACTTCGCTGTTAGTATAACTCGACGTTTACCGGTCGTAATATTCTCACTACACGACAGGGAGTTCGCGAACTTCGTCGCGGTGGCTCTTTCAAGTGCGTACGAACGCTTATATCTCCTTGCACGACTGGAAGAGTGATTATGGTATAGGCTTGATATTCTATGAACACATCATTACCGTTCACGGGGCCTACGTTTTCTTCTGGTCCCGTGACAAGTGGGCAGGGATTACTTGGACATTTATCTTGAATCGACTCATTCAACTACTAATTGCTCTAGTCCAATTATTGCCATCTTCCGCTGAGGCAAGTGTTCGTTGCTTTCTATCGTTGTCGGAGATTTGACTTTGTTATCCAGAGGTTCGTCATGGCTTTACGTTCTACGGAAATTCAAGCAATAACTGTCTTTAGTTGCCCAGGTTTATTGCGCGCATTAGAATGCCTATTACTATCGCAATATATTGTAATTGCTGGTACGACATATTCAAAAACGAAAGTGGCCGATTCTGACACCCGTCACGTTAGCGCACCATGGGCTTCGTACACAACGTCTCTCTGACTCTAATTTTCGTCCGTCTTGCGTCATTTTCTCTGTTAACCTTATACCTGTCGCAACTACCTTGGTATGGTTGACTCTCGGACGATGTTTGCAGTAGCTGATCTTGTCCCAGAGTGTGTATGTTTTGAGCGAGCCGAACTTTACTTCCTATCCCGGAGTAGGACCGCTCTGTGCTTCCAAGTCCTCTCACATCCCATTAATTGTAAAGTAAACATCCGTTCCTTGCTGTCTTCACCTTTGGAGGTTTCTGATCATCCCTATAGACGTGAGTGTCTGTCCACTTGCATTTTCCGATGCTGACATCTGTTGTTGACAGTGACTACTGTCTCTCGTGCCGTATCCATCATCTCTGAAATGTACTTGTCATTTCTCATTTGTCGGATCACTCTATGGTATAGACGTATGAATGTGATCTTTACGTCGCGAGTAGTACCTTGCTTGGTACGAAACGGTGAGTAGTGCATTTCCATAAAATGACATCGGTACTCATAGTTGGGATAGCGGTAATATATACCACGTATGTGCTCCCTTGCCATTGGCCTATAACCGTATCTAAAAAAACCCTCAGTATCGTTCAATCAACCAACATATTATGGTTTGTCAAGAGAAATGATGTAAGTAATGACATACGCTCACTTCAAACGTCGCTCACTGGCATCGCGCACGCCAGACCTTATTTCCAGGCCAAATACTATTTATACTGTAGGCATACGTCTTTCAGTGGATTGATACCACCAGTCTCACCCTGCAACAGGACCACATCCATCATGGCTTCACGCGTCTCCCTGAATATCCGCTCTGAGCTCAACAGCGGCTTATTACACAACGCAGATTCCCGCGTCTCAGGGCAACAATTGCCCAGTATCCACGTATCAGCTATAATCGCTACGATCAACGACCCCCACATCGCGGAGGAATCAGGAGAAACATAAGCTTGGAACCCGCAGCTGGATTGCAGGGTGTCTTCCTGTTTCACGTCTCGTCAGTCACATTGACCCTCACGTTTGCTGCACGCAGGAGCCGATTACGAGGTGTCTGCAATGGACGTTGAACGTTGAAGGCGTGATATCTAGTTGGGATGTACAAATTTTGGCATTGATACCATGTATCATGTCTTGTCCTAGCCCTCGATGCGGTATGCATGACCAGACGTGGTCTCGGTTCCTACTGAATCCGTTTGCCGATACGCTTTCTCGCGCCCAGAGCAATTGGCTAGCTTTCAATTGGTTCCACGACTTCTCGGGCCATCCCGTCTCTTACTTACCTCGTCTATACATAGTGCTCTATGCCGGTCTGCCCTGCCCCGATCCGTATGATCCATGCTCAGCCTGAACGTCGACTCTTGACATCCTGCTGGCACAACAAACATATCCATCATGGCTATCCGTCTTGTGATTCGTCATATGTTCTTGTGTTCTTGGCGACTGTCTCTCCTCGAAAAGATGGCATCGATCCGATTGGTCAACAGAAGTAACCAGCGAGAGGTGTCTTCTGCAACATGCGGCGCACAGAGCCACTAACCCTTTAGTGGTTGTATATTCCCCGGTACATGATACATTGCTTTCTACCTGACAAATCATGTCGTTCGTTTCAGTACATTGTACAGAGCATTCCCATGTGCGGGGTTTGTTTTGCAGCGTCGTCCGATCTGGACTCATCCACTCACGTGAGTATACGCAGCCTGGCAGCATTTATCAACGTAACCCTTGTTCTAACTCCACGACAGTATACACGAGGCTGCCTCGGTCCAAGCGCGGTTCTTGGCTAGGTCTCTGAGACCAGCTTCAAGGCACCGTCAACAAAGTCCGGCGAAGCCGACTACTTTATTCCGTCGGAGAGGGTCATTGGACGTTCCGCACCGTACTTGGAGGACTCTTTCTCACACGTTCAACGTGCCCGCCTGCAAACAGCGCACAATTAATGGATGTAAGCTTTTTATGCAATTATGGACCTGCGGCGTGATGCAGAATTTCCGCCTGATACAGTCAAGTAGCGCTCTAGACCCGCAATACGTTACCTTTGGCCAAACCACCGCACCCGGAGAGTGTGAAATGAATGGTAACAAGGACCAGCGACGCTTCTTCGCTGGAGAATAAGGCGCTGTATTGTGGTCGAGAGCTCATTCGTGCGACCACAGCCTGGAAAAGCAGGATACGATTCTGGGCTCGGCCATGGCTTCCTTTGATTGCGGAGGTGTGTTTTATGCCGTCCTTTATTCGACGAATCAGATTCTGACTTACCAAGGACCTATCGCAGCTCGTCGTATGGATGCGCGAAGGCTGATCGTTCTGCGTCAATCATGGCTACGGCGAGGCCTTCACATTCGCTCTCACGATGTCCAACTTATTCCAAACATCTCGTACTGACCCGCCATCGCGCCCTCGTCCATGCCGAACGGCTTGTACCAGTGCCAACGGTATATAAGACTTGGACGACGCGCTCATTATTCCCCAGTTCCCACCAGGACTAACAGCGCTCATCAGTACACAGTTCTCGTTCCCGAACTCCCACTCAACCAAGATGTTCGCCCGCTTCTACACGAGCTTCTTCTACGTTGTGTCTACCCTCGCCCTTCTTGCGGTCGCCACGCCCTGGGGTGTTACTTCGACAGTCACTAAAACCGTAACTGCGCCTGCGCCGACCGTGACCGCGGTCAGCCAGTGCAACACTGGGTCCATCTCGTGCTGCAACCAGGTTATCGACGTAAGTGACTGTTTCGATCGCGCAACAACAAGATATGCTAATCTGCCTGACTAGTCCCAGTCCAAGGAAGGAAACGCACTCCTCGGCCTTTTGGGCATCGTCTTGGGTGATGTAACCGGCCTGCTCGGCCTCGGTTGCTCTCCCCTTAGTGTCATCGGTGTTGGTAGCGGCAACGCGTGCAGTGCGAGCCCCGTCTGCTGCGAGAATAACAGCGTTGTACGTATGATAAGCTTTGAATACATTCACGCCCGAAAACTCATCCGCATTCTTTTTCAAGGGTGGCCTCATCAGCATTGGCTGCGTTCCCATCATCCTCTAAACAAGCGTCGCGAGATGAACCGATCTCTCCATGTCCCACAACGTCTTGCGGAACGACTTGACGCGTCGTTTCAAGGATTAGGAAGATTCACTTGATACTTGGTTCTGGGCGTGCTTCTTCGACAAACCTGTATATACACGTTGAGTTGCGGGTATTGATTGGTAGCTTGTACGAAGTTGAAGTTGATCACGGCAATATGCAGGTTGCATGCAGATCTTGGCCGTAAACTGCACTGCCTTCGCGTGGCAGTGTGGACCGTAGTCTTTGTTTTGTTCGTTGTGATCCCAGCTGTTGAAATATCTTCAACCGGACACCAATGGATCAGCGATAGGCCAGACACAGAAACACCTGAATTCTACGAAGCGTTTTCGGTACATGATTGTACAAGATCATGATAGCTAGTCTTTCTTTCGAGCTGACTCTGGTTGCGACATATCTGGCGTCTAAATCAACGAACCGCCGCCTTCGACATCGATTCTCTTGCCAGTGATGTAATTACACCTTTGAGCGCGTTAATCGGCACGGCTTGCTGCAGATAAGATACTTAAACGTACTTCATAAGGAATAGATAGGCTTCAGCAACCTCATCCGGACTCGCAACATGTCTTACGGGGAGTTTCCCCGCGAGGTCCTTGAGCATGACTTGCTTCTTTTCGGTCGGCATAGCGTCCCACATCTAATGAAAAACACGTTCATATTATTAGATATGCTCTGTGGTACAATGAAAGTAGGCAATATACGCACCTCAGTCAATACTGCCCCAGGACAGACGACATTTACACGAATAGGTGCTAATTCGACTGCCAGAGCTCGCGTGAAGGCGTCCACAGCGCCCAATACGCTTGCGACGATCGACGCTCCAGCTCGTGGCTTGTGGAGGAGAAA